ACAGAGTTATATTTTGACTTCTCACCGCTAGCTAAATTAAGGTGTAAAGGGGAGGGGGAAAGAAGAGAACAGAAAAAGAAAAGAACCCATGGATCAGAACACAAGTGAATCCAAAAATAAATGATATACCTAGCTAGAGCTGGTCGCTTTCGCTCCGGCAGCTCATCATCTCCACCCTCCAAGCCCCTTTTTTCTCTCATGGAGTTCGTCCTCTCCATATATCTTGTCTGTCTCTGCATCTCTAATCTCTAGAGAAAGTCCAAGCTTCCCAGATCTACTGCACACCAAAATCAGAAGTTGATTCAAGATAACTGATAGAAATCACAAAGCCGCCATGGACAAACAAACCCTAACCACAGTGACACAGCCAGAGAATCTAAAGAACCCCCAAAATTCAAAATAGTCCAACAACGAACATCCAGCTCTATCCTGGAAATTTCGCAGAAATGCTAGTGCACTTACTGTAAAGTTTCTCAAGTATCTCTCCTACTTCCCTCTAAATTATCCCGATTTACCGGGAAAATCAAAAAACAATAATAACACCGATACAAGTGAGACAATCCTAAAAGAGAGCCTTTCTTTTTTTTTTCTTTTTTTTTGTGTGTGTGTGTGTGTGTGTGTAGAGAGAGAACGACTAATATCCAAGTCTCGACCATGGGACCAAGCACTCGAGTGTGTGTGTGTGTGTGTGTGTAGAGAGAGAACGACTAATATCCCAAGTCTCGACCATGGGACCAAGCACTCGAGTCGGTAATAATCCGCTGCTGCGCAGTCCCGAAATTGTCTTCTCTCCAAGTCCACTGATGTCTAAGAAAAAGAAAGAGACTGCCACGTGGCTTCTCCAGATTCCAAAATCTCTGTGTCAGCAGACAGCGGATTAGAACTTTTTCGTCGTCCTCAGATCTGAAGTCATTTTTGGTCGCCGCCTGCGATTGGGGCAAGAGGCCTTTTTAATCTATATTACCTATTTCTTTCCTATTTAATCACTTTGTAAATAATAATAATAATAATGACTCTTATCAATTTTTCCTTCTATTCATAAAAATATGTTTTTTTAGGAAATAGATAATCTCCTCTGTCCTCTTTATTAATGCAAAGATTTTGGAGTTATATTAAATTTGGAATGATAAATAGTGTAAAACTATTTTCTTTGGGCCCACCGAACAATCTGGGCCATTAACAAACAAGCCCAATGAATGGGCCATTAACAAACCAGCCCAATGAATGGGCCATTAACAAACAAGCCCAATGAATGGGCCATCAACAAACCAGCCCAATGAATGGGCCATCAACAAACCAGCCCAATGAATGGGCCCATTCGATTGAAATTCTGCTAAAGCTTAGTCTCGAAGCAACCGGAGATGGATTTTAGCGAAAGAGAGTGAATTGACTACTTACCAAAATCGAGCGAAATATTCCGTATATATGCATGCAGGTTTCTTTCCACAAAATATTGACTGTACCAGAGAAATCCAATGGAAGAAGAAATGAGGACGGCAGCTGCCGATCTCTCTTCTCTGCCGGAAGGAGTAATCGCTCACATCTTGTCGCTCACCACTCCATTAGATGTCTGTAGGGCCTCGACGGTTTCCCGGATTTTCCATTCGGCGGCGCAGTCCGACATCGTGTGGAGCAGATTCCTGCCTCCCGATTTGGACGTACTGATTTCTCGATCAAAATCTGATGACCTGGATTTTGATCCAATTTCCAGTTCGAAGAAGAACATTTTTTTCTCCCTTTGCGACAGCCCAATGTTACTTGACGATGGCGACAAGGTAAGCTTTCCGATTCCCTAGCTCTCTAAATTGGCGGTGGCCGGAGTTTGATCGGTGGTCGGTCGACACATACATCATCGGAGTTCCCTTTCTTGTTATCAAATTGACATGTAATTTTAGAATATAAATACATTCTAAACGATTGCTAAAAACCTCAAATCCAAGTTTTCTTTTGAATCAATCTTGGATTTCAACAAAAACTTTCAGTTAAGCTTTAAACAGAGTTCGCTTCATATGCATTTTAGTGAATGTTCGATATCCAGAATCCCCCTTTTGAAAAGACAGATAAATAAATAAAATCTAATGTATGAAGTTTAAGTAACTAATTCCTTTTCATTTTGATTTAATAAAGTCTATAACCGAATGAATGGCTCCATTTTTCTTTTTAAAATAGAGCTGAATACAATATTATTAGTATGTTAGTTTCTATGCTTTAATCTTGTTCTAAATTATCTTTTACATTGAGTTTAGTGTACGAACTAAGCTTCGGCTGACGCAAATTTCAGTCCCAGATTATTGTTTAACTGTATGAACAGACACTTAAACCAGTCTGATTCATAAAGAACGAAAAGCCACTGATTCATTTGTGTATCTTTTACCACTTGTTGAATCAACAATGAAGCTGTTTTGCACTTTCAATTTGTATGCACATAAACCATTGGCATGCTGCAGAGCCTTGCATTGGAGAAATGGACTGGTAGGAAGTGCATAATGCTTGGAGCAAGGAACATCACGATCGTTTGGAGTGATACCCCTGAGTATTGGACCTGGGAACATCATCCTGATTCGAGGTTCAAAGTCTATATGAGATTATATCTTAATTTTTTTTTCCCCTCCCAATTCTAAAACTCTGCCATTTGAACGTGGGTGTGAGAATCAGGTTTGCAGAGGTAGCTGTACTCCTCCAGGTGTGGTGGCTTGAAATCCGTGGAAGAATGAGTTGCAGAATACTGACTCGTAGAACAACTTATGGTGTTTACTTGGTGTTCAAGATGAATGAAGATGAATACCGAGGGTTCAATTTTGATCTTGCTGAAGTCAGGGCGGGAATTCTTGGCACCGAAAGCGATCCGAAAACAGTTTGTTTGGACCCTGATTTGGAGAACTCTCGTCTGCGGCTTGCACCATGGTTGATTGACCATTCATTGGAAATGTCGTCAGAGTTGGAGCAGCCGAAGGAGAGACAGGATGGGTGGTTTGAAATCGAGTTGGGGGAGTTTGAAAGTGGCGATGGAGATGATGAAGTTGAGATGGATCTTATGGAGGTGAAGGGCGGCACACGCAAGATTGGGCTTGTCGTTGAGGGGATTGAGATTAGGCCTAAACCCACCTCTGTTCTTTGCATAGATGCTTTGATTGATTAAAGCCATGGTTTTGCTATTGCCTTGCTTTTGTTTATCCAGAGGTTCGAAAAAACCAGGGACTGTGTTTCATTCATTTTAGGCCTAAAATAATGTTTTTTTTTTTTTAATAATTTCTTTTTTAGTAATAGCTTTCAAAAAGTTGATTGGCTATAGAATTCGATAAAAGATAACGATAAATAAAATCAATTAATATCTGTAGAACATCACTCGAACAAAACTATCCCTTCGCCACCATTTTTCTGTTTTAAGAAACAGTAAAATAGAGTTCTGTTCTTGATTCATCATGGACAAGGATGAAACGAGGACGGGAACGGAGGACGGAGAAATTGCGGATTTCTCTTCTCTGCCAGAAGGAGCAATTGCTAACATCTTGTCTCTGACGACTCCATCCGATGCCTGCAGGTCATCGGCGGTCTCCCGTACTTTCCATGCGGCGGCGCTGTCCGATATCGTGTGGGAGAGATTCCTGCCTACCGATTGGGAAGATTTGATTTCTCGGCGGAAACCTAATGACCTGAATTTTGATCCGATTACATGGTCGACGAAGGAGATCTTTTTCTCCCTTTGCAACAATCCACTGCTAATTGACGATGGCTACACGGTACGCTTTTTTATTCCCCCAATTTCTCTAAATTAATGGTGGCCCGAGTTGCGTGAGTTGTCGGCGGAGACGAGTGTTACTCTAGCATCGCCGTCATGCTCTGTTTTTATAGACATGCTCGATTTTTAACATACACTTTCGAAGTTATTTCAATTCCTACAAAAACTTTTGTGATTATCCTTGAAAAGGTTTACTCAAAATCCAGAAAACATGAACTGTGATATGAAAAAGTTGTGTTTGGGAGAGTTAAGCTTCCGCCGACTCCAATTTTAGGTCCAGATTTGATTCACGAAGAACAGAAAGAAATTATGATCATGTGCCCATCTTTTGTACAGTTTTTCTTTGTATGCACATAAATTGAGTGGGTACAATCATTGGTATGTAGCAGAGCATCTCTTTGGACAAACGGAGTGGTAAGAAATGCGTAATGCTTGGAGCAAGGGAGCTATCAATTGTTTGGGGCGATACCTCTGTCTATTGGGCCTGGGAATCTCATCCTGAGTCAAGGTTTTAAGCCTAAACGATTGGCTCAAATCCCACTTTTTATCTTGATCCCAATTCTGATACTTTGCCTTTTAATGTGGGTGTGAGAATCAGGTTCACAGAAGTACTTGTCATCTTCAAGGTGTGGTGGCTTGAAATCCGTGGAAAGATAAGCAGTAGAATGTTGTCTCCTGCAACAACTTATGTAGCTTACTTTGTGTTCAGGACGAGGGAACGTAGATACTTTGGGTTCAATATAGATCCTATCGATGCCATGGTGGGCATTGTTGGTAGTGAACACTATATGAAGAGCGTTTGTTTGGACCCTTATTTCGACAATCCTCATCAGCGAGGCCGACGCGTACCACGAGCAGGATGCAATCTATCAAGGTTGGAGCAGCCAAGGGAGAGACATGACGGTTGGTTTGAAACTGAGTTAGGAGAGTTTCGTATTGATGGTGGAGATGATGAAGTTGAGATCATTCTTAAGAAGGTGAAGTGTATTGATTCCAGGAGTGGCCTCGTTGTTCAGGGTATAGAGATGAGGCCCAAAATGAACCCTGCATAGATTGTTACAACTTCAAGAAACTAGATGCCTAGTTTCAAATTTCAATCAATTTCAACGTTTATACACCTTGTAGTTTAGGGTAAAGATCGAATTTTTTTCCACAAAAAATATTTCGTTCTAAATACACGGCAAGGGGAACTTTTCTTTTCCTCTTTCTTTGGCTTAACAAGATAAAAGATAGAGAGCTAGCCGACTGGCTTTTTACTTCAAGAGTACATGGGTGCAATTCAAGGGAGTTTCGAAGGGAAGGTGACGGATGAGGTTGCTACATGGGAGAGAGAGGATTGCTAACTTACAGAGAGTGTCAGCTGCCTCGTTGAGAATATGATTGCCTCGCGCACTTTGCCACCAAGAATTGATTGGCCAAGCATGACAAGAATGCTAGCAGCTTAACATCGTAAGACATTGAACTAACATTGATCATTTGCCTCAAAATTTCCTCCCCTTTTACAAATATGAAGAAAGAAAAAAATCAGGATAGAAGTCTTTAGACCGTTCACACTAGTTCAAGAAAGTAGATCGTTAAGGTAACCTGATTTTATTCTGAACATGAATATGCAACCTAAAATTTTTTTTCCTCTACTTCCCATCAGTAGGGGCCGTTAGGGGTCCTCGTTAGCTTTTACTAATAATTTTGGAAGTCAAGGCTCTTCTCCCCTCTATAATATGGTTAGCTTTGGTGCTTGTAGTGCTCTACTTGTAAATAAGGAGGGGAGGGACTTTTCTTACTTGCTTCGGGTGGTTTATCTCTTCACGAGTCATGGACTTTCCTACCAGGATGCCGCCAAATTTGATGACATATTAAGGGAAGCCGTCGGTCGGACAGAGACATAACTTGTTCAAATATATACATATATATAATTAATGGTCAGATGTTGGCGTAGGTTGGAAGGAGAATAGATATATTATCCATTTGTCCCCAAAAGTAAAATTCATTACTCATTCAGACTGCCAAGAAAGATGGAAGAAGAAGAGAGCGAAGGAATTATTTATTTATCTTCGATGCCAGAAGGAGTCGTGGCTAACATCTTGTCGCTGACGACTCCATCGGATGCCTGCAGATCGTCGGCGGTTTCGGGGACTTTCCATGCGGCGGCGCAGTCGGACATCTTATGGAACAACTTCCTGCCCATCGATTGGGAATCTTTGGTTTCTCGGAGGAAAACCAGTGACCTGAATTTTGATCCAATTTCCAGTTCGAAAAAGGAGATCTTTTTCTCCCTCTGCGACTGCCCACTGCTGATTGATGACGGCAACAAGGTAACCTTTCTGATTCCCCTAATTTTTCTAATTTGCTATCCATCTCCTACTCCTCCGCCTGTGCCCATCGTCGGATCAGAAGTTCTTTCCTTCTCAGGCGTTCTTCTCGAATACCTTCGCCAACAAAATTATTTCCAAAGTTCGTTATTCATCGGTGAAAAGTTGAAGCTTATAGATTTGGTTCTTTCCTGCTTAATCTAATCAAATTATGAAAATAGCCCACCAAACAAGTATTAAATATGTTTTGTTAATAAGATGCTTGTTTAATCAGATAAAAATGTCTTCTGTTGTTAGGATCCCACATATATACTGTTCCTGTATGTACAAATATGAATCCGTAGAGAAGTATGATCTGAGATTTATACATACTATGCTTGAGCTACTAGGTTATTTTAACGTTTAAACTTCAACAAAAGCTATCGAAATTATGAAATTTCTTGTATTCGAGTCAATATGTGAAGGGCAAGAAACTTTTGGTATCTTCCCTTGGTAAAGTTTCAAGGTATGGATTATTTGATTGTATAAATTGGTTCGTAAGTACATCTTTATAAGCTGAGTGGGTTCAATGGATGGCGTTTGGCAGAGCTTTTCATTGGACAAATGGAGTGGTAAAAAGTGCATAATGCTTGGAGCAAGGGACCTGAAGATTATTTGGACCGACACCCCTGACTATTGGACTTGGATATCACATCCTGAGTCGAGGTTTAACTCTCAAATCCCCTCAACTTGTTTCTTTTCCTTCTGCTTCTAATATTTACTTTGTCCTTTTAATGTGGGTGTGAGAATCAGGTTCGGGGAGGTGGCTGTTCTCCTCCAGGCGTGGTGGGTTGAGTTACGTGGAAAGATAAGCTGCAAAATGTTGTCTGCTGCAACGACTTATGCAGCTTACTTCGTGTTTAAAATGAATGAACGATATTATGGGTTCGATATAGTTCCTGCTGATGCCAAGGTGGGAATCGTTGGTGGTGAATGCTGCACCATTAGTGTGGGTTTGGACCCTTATTTAGACAACTCTCAACGTAAGCGCCAACGTTTAGTATGGATGGGAAGCAATGCGCCTGGACATCGCCAACGTTTACGATGGATGGGAAGCAAAACCCATACGCCTGGAATTAACATGTCACGGATGGCGCTGCCAAAGGAAAGACATGACGGTTGGTTTGAAATCGAGATGGGAGAGTTTCATAACAATGGTGGAGATGATGAAGTTGAGATGGTTCTGAAGGAGGTTAATTGCAATTATTCCAAGTGTGGCCTCATCGTTCAAGGGATAGAGATAAGGCCTAAAAATTCAGTTCTGCATAGATGATAGATCACAGATGGAGTGTTGTGAACTTCGGTAATGCAATAAATATGGGACCACGGAAAACTTTGCTTTGTATATGGACATAGGACAGGTAAGTAAACAGCTATAGTACATTTCAACCTAAATGTTACTATTTTCATATCTCACCTTGAAAGTCAAGATTTGAATATTTGATAATACCCTGTTCTCACTATTCTTTTGAGATGACAACTAATAAGAAAAGTTTCAAGCTAAGTCAAAATTCATAAGACATTTCAATCAATCAGGCTTGCAACATGAGCTACTACTGCACTAACTACATTAAAAGATTACTAATAGAGCCACCAAAAACGCCCAACAGAATAGTGGTATTGCCGTCTTTCATGAATGACAGGATTTCAAGCTTTCGGCGGACTCGCTGATAAACTCATCCAATCTGCTACGGAGTTTGATGAGTAATTGGCTGCAGATATCTGGTTTTGTGCAGGGCCCGCACATAAGGTATATGACATTGCCCAATGGCCTCATATAAATCCCATCTTCCCGAAGCTTTAATAGAAGAGATCTTGAATACTGGGATGCATACCTGTTCAAAACCAATCAACTTAAGATATCAACCTCTATTCACTCACTGACCCACATATCGTAACTCCTAGTGAAATAGGAAATTTGTTTGGGACGGCTATAAATGGCATAAGGTTGGAACGAGCGTATAACAAGAATGATTGGAATTCCTTGGGGGATTTTTTATGGGTGCTGAACTAAAGTGCGACCAGACTTAACATAAATGTAGCCACTGAAAAGGAATATCCCTTGTCGATCTCTTCACGAAGGGTTAGCCAGCAAACAGAATATCAGGTTGAATTTTCTTATTCTTTGATGTACCCTTCGGATTCAAAGATCCAAATATAACGCATGGCACTATTATTTGGAAGACAGATGCATAGCAGGGGGCATCTATTGCAATAAGACAGATAACAATGCTAAAAGAAAAACTTAAGTAGATGAGGAGGCTCGAACATACCCGGCATCAGGGCCATCTGCTTTAAGTTCTAGAGCAAAGAGTGTTCCCAATGCGACTACTCTCTTCACCGCAGGATGTGATGAGATCAAGTGAACCAAATTTTCATCCCATAACTGTAAGCGTTAAAGAACAAATGAATCAAGAAAGCAAAAGAATCTTGGCAAGACCTTCGAAGTATAACATGACCTTGTATTGAGTCAACTGAGAACAAAATAAAAATATGATTGCACTTGCCTCCCTGAGCGATTTCCCTTCAGAATTGATATTCTGGTTCGTCTGAGGATTTTTAAACCATTTAATGGACTTAGCAGCAGCCGTGCAGCCCAAAGCATGAGCAGAATACGAGTGTCCGTGCAAAAGGGCCTCAAGCTATAAAATGAAGATGAAAAAGGGATTTAAACCGATGCGTAGATACCATAAATTGTACGAGCAAGCTTATTTCAGCTATGATTAGAGATTTAAGGGAAGCCACGCAGATCATAATGGAATCATACACATCAACCACATTCAGAAGTCTGCAGATAAATTTTGATCGAGCACTACTAGAACTAATTGAAAATTCATAAGAATGCTGCCTTGGGAAAAGTTCAAATTATAAAAATAAACTGGCATAAGATGATGTTCGTATCATAGACAGAAACGATAACAAAGAGACATTGTTGATAATAATCGCACCCCCGGCAGTAATTACCTTAGAGTCACCAATAAAGGATTCAAATACAGAGTTTGAAGCTAAAGTAGCAGATAACGGAATAATTCCACCAGTCATCAGCTTTGCGAAGCAGGCTATATCAGGTGCACAATGAAGCAGCTCTGCAGCAGTCTATAAGGAACCAATAGTTTGAATTACACTTTCAATGTTATTGGTTCCAGCCAGAAAATGAAATTTTAATAAGATGAATGGCTACGTACCTCACAACCCAAGCGCCAAAAACCAGTAAAAACCTCATCAAAGATGACAGGAATCTTTTGCTTTTTGCATTCTTTCACAAGTACTCGTTGGAAGAGAGGATCCACCATATGCATTCCTCCAGCACCTTGTATTACTATATAACAATTCCCAGGATATATGATAAAACAATTAGTAAAGGAAACGGCAGTTGTTGTTAGTTAAGCTACTCACCTGTACATAACCAGAGTCATAAACACTCCGGCGATAAAAATCCTGGAACACCAATGCTGTAATTCCATCGGAGGTACACAGGCTTATTATATATGACATAATATCTTTCCCATCCCACTCACAACCCAGAATCCCAACATGATTGATATTTTTTATCGTGACATTCTCCATCTCATGAATTAGTCTTAAAACCTCATCTGAAAAGGCATTTTCAAAATGAGATAAAGGAATTGATTTATAATGGTAATACATGAGTTTACCTGGTTCCATAATTAGTGCTCCAAGTAATGAATTGAACTTCGAAGAATCTGATAATTGTTGAGACAAGTATGCCGAATAGATTCCAGCCAAATCTGAACTGTCCCTCTTCTCATCAAATACCTCGTTACGTGAACAGAAAACTGACAGAAATAACATTATATTAATAATACAAAAAAGGAGATATACTTTAATGGGGAAAACTATATTCACTTACAAACACTCTCAGGCATCATGTTCTCTGGCTGCAATCCATCTGGCAATGAAAGA